TCCTCCTCCTCCTCCTCCTCCTCCTCTTCTTCTTCTTCTTCTTCTTCTTCTTCTTCTTCTTCTTCTTCTTCTTCTTCTTCTTCTTCTTGAAATTCCTGGTGATTTGGAATGGAGCCTGTTAAATAGTGGGTTCTAGACACATTGCAGTGATCAGCTCTGGTTTATTAAGTGATTTCAGCAAACTACAAGATGAAGCTAGCAGGGCTGGAGCCCTGATTATATGCATGCAAAACACCACACCCAACACACACACACTCCCAGTGATAGGCTATTTACATTACACTGCTTATCTATAGGTTGGTTCCTGGATCCAGGCGAGCTACTGTTCTAAAGATGCAAGCTCAGCCCATTCTAGGTGCAGCAAGAGGAAAGGCTTAGGCCTAATACATAACAGAGCCTGAGGAGGAGGATGGGATTTGGGGAAGGGAGGGACCTTAGCATGGTATAATGTCATACAGCCCACCCTTCGAAGGAGCCATTTTCTCCAGAGAAAAACTGATCTCTGTAGTCTGCAGAGCAGCTGTAATTCCTGAGGTTGGCATAACCTTCAGAGTGGTCATGGTTTGGTTTGCTTCTGCTGGCCAAATTTTGCATCGCACATTACTGTGCATGCTGGCTTGTCCAATATCACTGCCTGTGGTTATTTTATTTTTTTCAGCTGGGGACCCTCTTTTGGCGAAACAGCCTCCTGGTAGACTGAAGGCAGGTACCTATTCTTTCAGCCTTCTGGTGAGGATGTCAAATGGAGATCTTCAGGAGAGTCTGAAGGCTGCATGTGGAAAGTTACATGCATACAAATATTTCTAGGGATGGGCACAAACCGAGAAAATGCATTTTGGTTCAGTTTGTGGTTCACGGCGTGCCCGGTTCGCAAACCACACACCATGGATTTTTAGGGGCCAAATGAACCAGTTCAGTTAGTTCACTAGTTGGTTCACTAGAATGCCCCCCAGGTGTGCTAGAGACACCAAACTTGCAGGGGATCTCTGGCTGACTGTCTTCTACCTGTTGTCCAAGTTTGGTGAGGATTGGATTTATGGGGTCTGTTACACCCCCCCAAAGAAGGTGCCCCCAGGAAAGTGCTTTCTGGGGAAATGACAGGTGGTCATTTTGACATGAGCAGGCTCAGGAGGTTAAGGAGTGTATAGAACAGATCCTGTGCAAGCTAATCAAAGTCACAGGGGACCCCTGGATGCTCCTCTATATGCCCTACAAGTTCCACCTCCCATTGCTTTGAAGTTTGGTAAATATTTAGATTGAGCAGAGACAGTCCGTCTGGAAATATATCCATTCATGAACCACCACAAACCTCTATAAACAGCTTGAAAGTCTGTGGAAAGTTCATGCTGGTTGACCTGCCACAAACTTCACTTCGCAAACCATGAACCAGCCAAAATTCATAATGAACTTTAGTTTGTGAGCCGATTCGTGCCTATCCCTAACTATTTCAAATAAGCCAACAAAGGAAGTTACTTCAGCTCAGGTTTTCACTGATGACATTTTGTGATAAACATGTTCTTAAAAGCAACGAACTGTGAGATTTCCTCAGACTGTACAAGAGTGTGATCCATTAGACCACTAACCAGAATCACTGAAGACTTTCGGTGCTGAAAAGACTGGAGGTTGTTTTGCTACTTTAGAAAACTGTGAAAAGCCACATCCATTTTTAAATATTTCCATTGCATGAAAAACTGAGAACTTGGGGCCAGTTCAGATGCTAAAACATCATATGGAGGAGGAAGGCGGAGGAAGCAACATGTCTTGGAGTTCAATTCAAGGTGCTGATTATAACATTCAAAGCCCTTCACAGTCCAAGTCCCACATGCCTTCCCACATGTCCCTGTGTAATCTTTACCTAAAGAACTCCTCAGCTTTGTCTCAGCTAATAGCATTCTCTCTGAGTGGACATCTTTATGTGTTCTCCAGAATTTGTGGCCCTCCTAGCCAAACACAGGTCATCATCAGATTTATCATGGCCAGCCAAGGTACTTGTCAGTTCCACTGTTTTGCACTCTGTGAAAAGCGGGGCTAGGTGCCGCTATCTACGGCTGGGCTGGTGGGTCACATTTACCTTGGTCGTTCACAGATTCTGCTGACATTTTTAATCAAATGGAGAAGGGTGCAGGTTTGATTGTGGAATCCCCCATCTCCCCCATGTCTGTATGTCATTTTTCAATTCTAAATAGTTTCTTCTTATCAGTGAAGGAAAAGAAACAGGCATGATATATGTTGTCTGTTTTTCTCCTCATGGAACAAATAGTAGACTGAAGGGGTCATGTGAGAGCAGGATAATGGCTTGTAGAGACGTATTAAACCCCACACGGTCCCTGTCCAGTTTCCCTGATTAAGTTTAGCTTTTCACAGAGTGCAAACCCCTATTGTTTTTGTTTTTTTTAAAGTTTGCTGTATTAATTGTTTTGTTTTCACTTTTCATCGTATTCAGGTTTAAAAGCCTATAGGCCATACACCATAATTTAAGAATGAAGAATAACAACAAAGCAAAAATTAGCCACCTCAACAGTATAAGCTTTTTTGTGGCCACTCAGAAGTAATCTTAGCTCATGGGTGTCCACAGTAGCTGAATATTTTAATAACCATTTCAAAAGAAATTTCTCCCTGGCCTCAGCATGTTTTGGCAATAAAGAAATACATGCATTAATAACGAGTCGAGCGCTGATAAAGAGCAGTCACAAAAGCACTTTTCTGGAGATGTCCTGAGAAAGCGACCCTTCATCTGAGCTGGGGGTAATGCATTACAGCATGCAATCATGTACGGCCATCTCAGTTTAGGAACCGTCAGCATGTGAAGATTGTGCACGGATTCAAATTCAGCTGGATATTTAGTTCCTGTGTAAAGTGGAGAATATTTCCTTCTGGCATCTTTAAGCCAGAGGTCCTGTTTAAGTAATTTCTTGATGAGTAGCTCTCTTTTCTTCTTTGTTAAGGAGCTCAAAGGCCTCACTGGGCACAATTAATCATGGATCTCCCAGTGTAGTTTAGGCCAAAGTCAAATATTTTGGACCTTGCTTTCATATATAGATTGCATGTTCCAGGGAGCTAGATATTAAGCTTCCATGTATCTTTTCAGGATGAAAGTTTTCGTGTCCAAGTATAGCAGAGTCAGTGTGGTTTCTTTTCTCTCTCCTTCTTCCATACAGCTGATTTTGGAGACTACAATCACTTTGAATCTCAAGATTTTCTCCGAGAATATGTTTTGTTTCCTATGGTGAGTTAATAACCCCTGACTTTTCTTTCAGAATGTTATGCAATTCCTTCTTGCTCAGGTATGGTTTTAGGAAGCTGAGGAGAACAGGTCAGTAAAATATTTGTGCTGCATTCGGAAAAAATATATAATTCCTGCAGTTTTGTTCCCATCAGTTAAATTAGCACTTTATTCATGTAACCAAATACGACCATCTCTGATGTAATTTTTTTCAGTTGCACAATCTCTGTGTGTATATATGTGTCAGCTTTCAAATTATCTCATATCCTGTGGGACCACATCTCAGTGGTAGAGCACACAGTTTGTAAGCAGAAGATCCAAGGATCATATTCCCCAAACTTCAGTTGAAAGGATAATATTTCAAAGCTACTAAGAGTTACAGTGAGGGTAGATAGACCAAATAGTGTGCCTCAGTGTAAAGCAATCTCGTGTGTTTATAATTAAGGTGATGTTGAGAAACTGAACTCAGAGCTGGATAAGTGCAGATACAGGTTGACTCAAGTCTTGGTGGGTCCCATTTTACATTTTCTGTACTATGAGGAAACAAGGTGCATTCTTGGCTACAGTTTTTGGGAGGGAAAACCAGATCTTCCACCCTGTGTGCTGTGTAGCTCAGCCTCTGCTAGAATCATCCTGATGGCGCATTGTTCAGTATATCATATGTCTGACTGCTAGTGAGTGTTATTTATAAAAGGTTGGATACCAGCTTTCTAAATAAATAGAACAGCTAGTATGGAGTGTGGGATTCTGTAAATATGAAAATAATTGTCCATTCTGTTTTTTCCTTATGCTTGTGATGAGCCCTTGATCATAATTTGATGCCCACTACTCTCAGAACTATCAGTAGGAGGCATAAAATATTTCCCAGGATGCTTCAGAAGTGGCTGTGCCATTTTTCTTTTGCCTTTGTTTACATTTGTGTTGCAACCTTCTTCCAGAGTAGCCTTTAATTTACCTCGCAGAGTTATTGTAAAGGTAAGGTCACAGGGACCTGCCCAAGGCCATCCAATGAACTCTGTGACCAGAAGGTTGGGCTTGAGTGTAGAGGAGGACCCAGGTTCAGATCCCTGTTCAGCCTTGGATGTCATTGGGCAAGAATTATCTCAGTCTAACCTTAGTGGGTATGTGGTGAAGCTAAAATGCTAAAAATTTAATGGCTAGGTGTACTTGAGTTTTGGAGTCGCTAACTTTTCATGTGGCTTAGTATCCAGTATTTTCCATTCAATTGATTGTCCAAGTGGGATAATTCTAATTTACTCTTAATAAACTGATTGTCCAAGTTAATAGTAAGCATTATTAACTAAATTCTGAATGGACCAAAGGCTTTGCTTAGGGCAGGCGAGAATACTGTGCCAGGCAGCTTGTGAACTGTTGAGAGGAGTGCTGTGCATGGACTTTGTTTGATCTTGTACAGCTACAATATGTGTCAAGCAGTATTTCTTCAGCAGTGAAAAGAACAAAGTTATGTACACAGAAGAACGCTTCACAGGTGTGTAGCTGTGTACAGACACGTACCATGCCATTTTTCATTAGCACGTTATGGCATTCACATTTTTCAGTGTCAGGAACAAATATTACAGGGAGGCCCCATATGAGTAAGAAACAGACAGTTTAGTCAAGTACAAATGCACACAGCCTTTAGGCATTCTGAAGTAATCACTTGGGGGGGTATTCTGGGTTCTCTTTAGTTCATTTTTGAAATTAAGTGGAGATGCCATTATGTATTATCGTACCAAATGATTGAAAAATAAAAACTCAAAACCACATACAAGCTACCTTTACATAATATACAAATTTGCTGAAAATATGAGCCACATAAGATGGTACTAACAGGCATGCATGTAGCTGAGAGGAATTCAGCTCCCCCACCCCCACCTCTTTGCATTCTTCTAACATTTCTGGCCCATTCTCTCTTGGATCCTTATGAAATCTAAATTGTTGTCATGGTAGGACTCAATATGATATCCCTAAAGTGCCTTTCATTTCAGTAATAGTGATCATTATATTTTGAGCCGAAGAAGAATTTCCTTTTCCCTTGGGGACATTGGTTCAGTATTTTGTAGCAAAGGAGCTGGTACCTGTCCTTGCAATATGCTCGTCGGTGTCAGACTCCTGCAGCAATCAGTTCCCAACAGCTTTCATTCAAAGAAGTAAAGTTTATTGAGACATTGAGAGTATGCAGATCTCTTAACCATTTCATGTTAGAACTGAAGAAAAGCATGCACAGAAAACAGATATACGTTATTCAAGGAGCCCCCCGATGGCCCAGGGCCAATCAGGGATCAGATAGGAGCCCGCCACAGTAACGGGCTACTTTTCCCAAGAGAAAGATTACACCAGGCACTGAAGGTCATACAGAGAAGGTCATACAGAGATAACAGCAGAAATGAAACTTAACATTCCAGAGTCACCCCCCCTCCTATTGCAGCCAGGGCTTGAGAAAGGCCTAGCTGACAGTTGGTTCCTTTGCATAATTTAAGTGGAGCTGTTTGCCTGGTAACCTTCTTTTCACCCATGTATCTACATTTGGTTCAGTGTGGCCTGGGTAATACAGGTTTGTGAAGGAGGGTCAATAACCCCTTATGAGCTGACTGTACAATACAATCAAATCATGTTACTGTCCAGGATGAACTCTGCTATCTGAGTGCAAGTGGCATTTTGGAAACATTCATTTGCCTTCAATTCCTCCGTAGATGTGGTAAGCTACCATACCTGTTGGAAAGGTTGATAATATCCTTTAGATAATTTTTAATGTGAGGGACCCCCCCCCTTCCTTCCTGAATGTTGTTCAGTACCCATATGGAAATGCAAATCAGCCCTATGGTCCTAATTGATCCCCCCCCCCAATGCTACGACTGGGTCTATGCCAGCAGCAGAATGAGGTGGCAGAATGGACTATACTACTTCAGAACAAGTGGGGGACCGTATGATTGATCCACTCCTGAGGAAAAATAAAATTGTTAAATAGAAAACTAGCATGAGAGCTAGGCTAGAACCTTTCATGTGCTAATTTTCTATGGGCAGAAGCAGTTGAAAATGCTGCAGTGCATTCTAAAAATTCTCACCTTGGTCTTCTGGACCTGTAGACATGACTACAGTAGCTACCCACTGCTTCTGTTTGGATACGCTTGTATCTCCTCCGCCAAGTTTCCAGTTTTTCCTTGACCCTCATGTTACTATTGCTAATCTGATTCTGATCCATGAGAGTGGCATGATTAAGAAATATTTCTGAGATCACATTCAGCCATCATTAGTTCTCCCTGTTCAATAGAGCTGGTCCACATTTATAGCTAGGAGATTGAAAAGCACCAGTCACCATTATTTATTTATTCAATTTATTCTGAGACATGGTCATGAAATTTGATGGAATGTAATTGAGTTTCTGAACCACTTGGCTTGCCAGTCTCATTACTGCGCCCAAACATAAAGCTACATTAGCTATAAAATAAAAAGTATTTCAGTGTAAAGTTTTCACTCTGTATTTTACCTCCCCCTGTTCTTTGTCTCACTTAGAACAGTACTATTGTTTGTATGTCTATAGGATTGGCCTCAAGATGAAGCTGTGCTAGAGGAACGCACTCAAAAAGTAGCTCAGGAACACAAAAATCACAGGTGAGTCCCCAAATGTCAGCGTGCCAACTGCTGCCAAGCTACGGGGCTTTAATGTCTTATCTGGGCTGTCACGTAGTCACAAGGACTTTTTTTTTGCAGTCAACTATATTTGTTTGCCCAGTAGCCTTGTTATGCTCTGAAACGACATTTTGCAGGTATTTGGCAAGAGTTGCTAGCTAAAGGGCAGGAACGAAAAAGACAAAAATTACCTTTTTGTACTATCTTCAGTAGGCCTATAGGCGATGAAGACTGTTTGCCCCACAAAGTGTAGGGTATTAGAGGTTCCACCTAGCCTGCTAAGTAACTCCTGCCACATATTCCTCAACATCTTTTAGCAGGGGTTGCAGTCTCCTGAACTTCTCTCCAGTGCTCTGACTAGAAGCTTTTATCCTCCATGCAATCCTGTGTGTTAATTTTCATTTGCAGTGGCACACCTGCAGCAGAAGCGGAATTCCTTTACATCAGTGAAGTTGAACGTCTGGATGGGTTTGGTCAGGAAAGCTTCCCTGTGAAGGTAAAGTGCTACAGGAACTATGGTTTCATTTAAGTTTTGGACAAAGGAGTTTATCGTCATCAGAGAAATATGAGACCTCTAGACCAGACTGCAGAGATATTTTACCGGTTCTTTTAAGGCCTGTGTGTCTAATAGAACACATGATCAGGTGCTGGAGTCAGTATAAAAGGAAACGATAGTGTGGGGTGGAAGGGAAGATGCATTTGACCATCTCGTTACAACGTTAAGTATAAAATGTAAAACTTAAATATCAAAACATTCCTGTCATCACCTCCTAGGGTGAAAAAGGGAAACCCAAAACTACAGAAATGTTCCCCCCCCCCTTTTATTAGGACCAGTTAAAATTTCACCAATCACCCAGCAAGGTTTTGAGATCTAGCTTATGGCCAGCTTTAATGGTTTCAAAGGGAAGGGTGGCCATTGCCATCGGTGAAACCTGAAATCTTTCTTTGCCTCTAAGCAAGCAAACGTCAGTACCTGGGTGGAAGAACTCCGGAGAGTCTCATGTAAACTGTCTTGAGTTCTATAACAGATAAAATGTTATATTCATATCTGAAAGAGATGCACTCCACAAATTTAGTATAGTAAATGGTTTTGCCAAACAGCTGTTTACTCCGGTAAGGGTATGTGCTTTCCAGTCACCAGGGACAACTGAACCAGTTTTCAGTATTGTAATGTCTATAAAGGACAGGGATGCTGAAGTAGCACAGGCTAAACTATATGCAACAGAAACTTTTAAACTCAAGTCAATGAAGCTTGAAATCGTTTCTGGAGTTTCAACCAATATGCAGTCACTTAGGGAAAAATATGCTACTAAAACAGCGTATTGAAAATTAGCTGCTTTTTTTAGAAGTGTAAGTTATGTCTCAACTTTACTTTAATCTTACCTCTCCTTTTGATACCTGGTTCAACGCAATTTCTAATGTGTGAGAATGCCTTATACCCATTCAGATCACTGGTCCACCAAGCCCCTTTCTGCATGCTTTGTGTTAAGGGACAGCTCACCAAGGTCATTCCCAGTTCTGCTTCCTGTGGTCCCTTTGGCTGGCAATGGCAGGGCTTGAACCTGGGACCTTTCGTATGCACGGCATGTGATCTGCTACTGAGCCACAGTCTCACATTTGAAGTAGCAAATGTGAGCTTGATACCCTTTGCAACTTTACAAAGGAAAGGGATCGATTTTACTGAATCACAGAGTCCTTGGGTTTACATTCTTTTGAAAGTTTCCATTGGAAATTTTTTTGTTTGTTTAACAGCTGTGGCTTTTGACCAATAATTGTAAAACACTGTGAACACCGCGAGAGAAATACATATATCGTTAATTCATTAACCTTTTTGTTCTTTTGTCTCCTCAGTTGTAATTATTATAAGTATTTGATTGTTGTAATGTTTCATACATTTGTAATGTAGGGAGGCCGGAACAGTGTGTATTGACTTGAGTAGCTAGTTTGCAGGAAAATGTAGGACTTTCATTTTTGGAAAAAAAATTAAACGTTGATCCCACACACACACACACACACACATACATTGTTGCTGCAAATATCAAGCAGCCTTTTCTGCCATTGGCAGTTCAGTTTCAACCCTAAGGCACATCCCAGCTCAAGAAGTGCCCTGTGTCTGCTTTGGCTGATGTAAAGAATCAGGGCAGCTCTCAAAATAGCCCGAAGGGACAGAAGGAAAGAAAGACTTTAGCTAGCTCTGCATTCTCTGGAACTTGTGACAGTCTACATCAAAGTTAATGACTTGTGCACTGGAAGGCAGAAATGTTGTGGTCTTCTGTATCTAGTCTTTACACAACTGACAAATCAAAGGCTCACGGCACATTTAAAGTTCTGTGCGGCAGTCAATCAGTTTGATAAGCAATCTCCTCGTTTTGCTTCACTGTGGGTAATGTTTGGTATGCACCAAAGGGAATGCAGTGCTATGCAATAAAAAAATGGAGGGAGTCTGTTACGTGTAGGAGTGAGAACTTAACTGAATGTATTAGGATAGACTGAGATTATTTAAAGAGCTGTTGGCTTTCTAAGCCATAGTGATATCCCATGCACTCATATACATCTGATACCTTACATCTCTAGTGACTCTTACTTGGAGTTATAAGAAAGAAAACGGAATGTCTTGTGAACACACAGTAGATGGCCAACAGTCTGGTTTATGTTGTTGGTGTTGTGGAGCTTCTCATGGACTAGTGGCTCAAATTGGCCTGATACATTAATGTAACATCATCTGTCTTTAGGCTTCTGTCCCACCCCTCCTCCAGGAACCTCAAGGCAGTAAATGTGGCATTCTCCCTTGCAGGTTAATCCTCAGAACCACCCTATGAAGTAGTTCAGGCAGAGAGAGGGTAACTGTGCCAAGGTCACCCAAGTAAGCTTCACAGCAGATCACTTGAATCTCGTTTGAATCTAGGTCTCCCAGGTCCCAGTCCAGCATGCTAACGAGTACACTACACTAGAATCTAAAGAAGTGATCAATTGTTATTGTTGTTGATTAGCCACACATTGCAATCTTTCCTGCTTCGCCTAGCAGAATGTTTTGTTGCAAGATTACAATTTGGGTTTTTGGTTTCCTCCCCCACTTCACGTAGGACAATCATGGAAATGACGTGCATCTTGGAATTTTCTGTATGGGGATTTTTGTAAAGAACCGAATTGGAAGGCTCACGGTGATCTACAGGTAAAATGAAAAAAAGGAACTTATGCTCAATCCAGAGTATTTTTTATTTCATTGGTAGAACTTGAGGATCTAGACAGGTTCCTTGGGTGTTTGAGGCTTACCACCTGCTTGTCGGCCTGATCTGGATGGCCCAGGCTAGGCCAATCTTGTCAGATCTCGGAAGTGAAGCAGGGTTAGCCCTGGTTAGTATTTGGATGGGAGACCACCAAGGAGTACCAGGAAGAAGAAGGCAATGGTAAACCACCTCTGAATGTCTCTTGCCTTGAAAACCCTACAGAGTTGGCATAAGTCAGCTGCGAAGCAACTACACTGAGGGCTGCCAGGTCCCCTCCTCACTCCAGCAGGGGGATTTGGGGGGCATTCTGAGGGTGGGCGGGGACACCCCCAAGCACAACTACCCAGCTGGCCACTCATCTCTCACCTCTTCTGCCAGATTTAAAGGGCTTCAGCTGATCCATGGGGACTACCAATCAGCTGGAGGGCCCTTTAAATCTAGCAGGGGGGAGAGGGGCAGTCACGGGCCACATGCTTGGCTTTCAAAGTGAGTGAAAAGGTAGTTGGTGGACAACTTCACGGTTTCCTGGAAGAAGTGAACTATCTGGATCCTTTCTGGTTTGGCTTTGGGCCTGGATATGGGACTAACAGCCTTGGTCACCCAGGTGGATGACCTACACAAGGAAAGGGATGGTGGAGTTCCACCCTTTTGATCCTGCAGGACCTCTCAGTGACTTCTGATACCTTTGACCATTATATCCTAGTAGATTGCTTTTTGTATTTAGGACTGGGGGCACCCTTTTGTGGTGATGTCAATTCTACCCAGAGGATAGGTCTCAGAAAGTCATGCTGCTTGGCTCCTTGGCCTGCGGCATATGGAATGTCATCCTTTTTAACATCTATGAGAATGCTTGGTGAGCTCATCCAGAGATTTCAGCTGGGTTGTCTCACCAGTATCCGGGTAACTTTCCATTCTATTCTTGACTTCCAGTTGATTCCAGGGATACTGTAATAACTCCGAGCAGTGCCTGGAGGCAGTTTTGGGGTGGGTGAGAGCTAATACTGAAGCTTAATCCCAACAAGATGGAAGTGCTATTGGTGGGTGGAAGGACTGACTGGGGATTTAAGGTGTCTCCAGCTCTGGATGGGGCTGCCTTTTGAAGGGGCACAGCTGTATTTTGGAGATGCTACTGGCCTGAGGCCAGCTGCTGGATAAGCAGGTAGCGGTGGTGTCCAGGTGTTCCTTTTACCAGCTTTGTCTGGCTAGCCAGCTTGTGATCTTTCCTGGACAGAAGAGATCTGGCCACTGTGGCACATGCTCTGGTAACACTTAGAGCACAGTGCAGTGATCTAATCTATGTGAGGCTGCCCTCGAAAAGTGTTTGGAAGGTTCAGTTTGTACAGAATGCTGCAGCCAGGATGTTGATTAGAGTGGGTCATAGGAACCATATCATGCCAGTCTTGGTCCATCCACACTGGCTCCCAGTTGGGCCCAATTCAAAGCGTTGCGTTTTTTTTACCTTTAAAGCCCTACATAATTTGGGACCAGCATACTTTAAGGACAGCCTACTCTTATACCCAATCCTCTGAGGCCCTGCTTCTGGAGCTCCCACATTCTAAGGCTAAACAGTGGCAACCCAAGAGAAGGAGGAGGAGGAGCTTGGATTTATACCCCGCCCTTCACTACCCAAAGGAGTCTCAGAGCGGCTTACAAACTCCTTTCCCTTCCCTTCCCCACAACAGACACCCTGTGAGGTAGGTGGGGCTGAGAGAGCTCTGACAGAAAATGCTCTTTTTCAAGGACAGCTCTTATCAGAACTATGGCTTGCCCAAGGTCATCCAGCCAGGTGCAAGTGGAGGAGTGGGGAATCAAACCTAGTTCTCCCAGATTAGAGTCCGCGCACTTAACCACTACACCAAACTGGCTCTCCATCATAATATAAACCCAATTTAAAACCTGTTCCCAAAATGCCATGATAACCTTGCACCTCCACCACCAGAAGTCCATCTCGGTCATGATGCCAAAACTACAAACTCCCTCCCCAGGGATATTTGTGTGACCTGTCTTCACCCACTAGTGAAAGACAATGACAGAAGACTTTTTGGCTTTATCTGGCATTCCCTCAGCGAACCCTCCTTCCTGCCTTATGTATTGATTTGCTGTATTGTAGTATTTTTATTATGGAATTTTAACTGTGACCATGATTAAACAGAAAGGCAAAATATGAATGAATGGCATTCAAAATGTTTTTCATTAAGAAATAATCCCCTTTGAAAACAACCTTCTTTGAACTCAGTGGGACTTGCTTCTAAGGAAACTTGTATAGCATTAGGCCGGGTAACAGGATCATGCTGTTCATAATTAGTGCATAATCCTTTTAAACTAAGGTTTATGTTCTCTGACATGTACAAATCATTCTTTATACTCTCATTTGTATGAATGTAGTTATTTCATGAGTTTCATACCAAGCAATGGCATGATGTCCATGCAGGGCACAGTGGAATGTGAATAGTCACAGCCATTATATTCTTTGTAAGAACATAAGAGAAGCCATGTTGGATCAGGCCAATGGCCCATCCAGTCCAACATTCTATGTCACACAGTGGTGAAAACCCAGGTGCCATCAGGCGATCCATCAGCAGGGCCAGAACTCCAGAAGCCCTCTCACTGTTGCCCCACAAGTACCAAGAATTCAGAGTATCGCTGCCCCAGACATAGTGTTCCATCTATACCTTATGGCTAATAGCCACCGATGGACCTCTGCTCCGTATCTTTATCCAGTCCCCTCTTGAAGCTGTCTATGCTTGTAGCCACCACCACTTCCTGTGGCAGTGAGTTCCATGTGTTAATCACTCTTTGGATGAAGAAGTACTTCCTTTTGTCTGTTCTAAGCTTACTGCTCATTAATTTCATTGAGGACCCATGAGTTCTTGTATTGTGAGAAAGGGAGAAAAGTACTTCTTTCTCTGTCTTCTCTATCCCATACATAATTTTGTAAACCTCTGTCATGTTACCCCTCAGTCGTCGTTTTTTCAAGCTAAAGAGCTCTAACCTCTTTAACCTTTCTTCATAGGGAAGGTGTTCCATCCCATTAACCATTTTAGTTGCCCTTTTTTGCACCTTTTCCAATACTGTATCTTTGTTGAGGTGTGGTGACCAGAACTGTACACAGTATTCCAAATGGGGCTGCACCATTGATTTATACAGGGGCATTATGATACTGGCTGATTTGTTTTAAGTCCCCTTCCTAATAATCCCCAGCATGGCATTTGCCTTTTTTATTGCAGTCACACATTGAGTTCACATTTTCAGGGAGTTATCTACCACAATTCCAAGATTTCTGTCCTGGTCAGTCTATGCCAGTTCAGACCCCATCAACGTGTATTTATAGTAGGGATTTTTTGGCTCCAATGTGCATTATTTTACACTTGCCCACACTGAACCATATTTGCCACATTGACACCAACCAGTCAAGCCTTGACAGATTCCTCTGGAGCTCTTCACAGTCCTCACTGTTTTTCACTGCTTTGAACAGCTTAGTGTCATTCCCAGACTTAGCGACTTCACTGCTTACTCCCAACTCTAAATCATTAATGAACAAGTTAAAAAGCACTGGACCTAGTACTGAGCCCTGTAGTACCCCACTGCTTAGCACCTTCCACTGCGAAAACTGCCCATTTATACTCTCTGTTTCCTGTTAATTGACCAGTTTTTAATCCTCAAAAGGACTTGTCCTCTTATCCCATGATCACTGAGTTTACTTAGGAGCCTCTGATGAGGAATTTTATCAAAAGCTTTCTGGAAGTCTAGGTAAACGACATCTACTGAGTCACCATTGTCCACATGCTTGTTCACCCCCTCAAAGAACTCTAAAAGGTTAGTGAGACAAGATCTTCCCTTACAGATTCCATGCTGATTCTTCCTCAATAGCTTTTGTTTATCACTGTACATACTAATTCTATCTTTGACAAGATCTTCCCTTACAGATTCCATGCTGATTCTTCCTCAATAGCTTTTGTTTATCACTGTACATACTAATTCTATCTTTAATAAAGGATTCCACCAGCTTACCAGGTATTGACCTTAAACTGACTGGCCTGTAATTTCTCCTCTGGAACCTTTTTTAAAGATGCGGGTGACTTTGGCTACCTTTCAGTCTTCAGGAATGGAGGCAGATTTTAGTGATAGATTGTGTATTTTTGTCAGGGGATCCACAAGTTCACATTTGAGTTCTTTCAGAACTCTTGAGTGTATGCCATCTGGGCCTGGTGTATGCCACCTCTGCCATCTGGTGTATGCTACCTCTTACGTACTTTTTACATTTTTAAAAATATAATTTTTATTGATTTTCCACTACACACTACAAAACTAAAACTACAGAAGAGAGTAACAAGGTACTTTGATAAGCTATTCATACACTTAGGATATTTATCTACATGTTAGAGGTTACATCCAGTTATTTAAATTCTAATAAAGGTATTCAAGTAGAAAGAACAAAAAAGCATTTTTGGTATCATATCACATCTGGTTGATAATATGAATTCATTAAATGTCAACATAGGCTATCTCAAATCTTCACTTAGATTTCTTTTGTCAGGGGAGATTTACTTTAAAGGTTCTGGGAGCAGCTACTCCTAGATCGGAATCAGAGTCATTGTCAAAAATTTCACCCAAAGACACGGAAGTAGCTGTAGAGGATGAACTATCTGTATCAGATTTCTGTTGTTCGCTGTTTTTTTCCATTGCCTTCCCTTTCTCTGCTCCATTTCTTTGTTTGGTCAGGGTTTGTTGTTGCTTAAGAAAAAGTTCTGCTTTTAATAAAGAGTCAATCTTTTCCTTCTTCTCATTGAAGTTGATTATAAGTCCTTCTGGAAAAATCCATCTGTACTGGACATTGTTCTTTTGAAGGAATGCTGTAATATTTCTGTATTGCTTCCTTTTCTTACGTATCTCATGTGGAACATCTTTCAATATTTTTATCTCCTCTTCTTGAATTTTAACTGTTGTAGCTGTGGATGCTTTAATTATTAAGTCTCTTGTTGATCCTTTTGCAAATTTCACAAAAATTTCCCCTGGGAGATTTTTTTTTTTTTTTAACAAACTCTGAATAGGTTCTGTAAATCATATCAATATCTGCTTGTATTGATTCAGGTTTGTTATTAATCAAGGGGGCCATTGCTTCACTTATGATTTCTCTTAAGTTCTCTTCCTTTTTCTCTGGCACCCCTTGAAATCTCAGGATATAGAGAGATCTTTCCACTTGTAGCTGTAATGTTGTTTTTCAGAACTTTCTTTTTCTGCAATGTCCATTCTTTGATCTATTTCTTTGGTTTTGATTTCAACCTTTTTTATCTTTTTAGATGACTTCCCTGATTTGGCTGTAGTTTCCTTAAGCTATTTCCATAAAATATCAAATTTCTGATTGAGGTTCATCAGCTGGTCCAGCAGAGGGCGCACGGCTTCAGAAACTGCAGTGGCTATCTCACTGGTATTTTCCGGTCTTGTGGCTGATGATGCTGTGCTGGTATTTCCTGCAGAACCTCTGTTTCTGGACACCATTTTTCCCCCTCACTGAGTCATTATTTTTTAAAAAATTTTGGTTAGAGTTTGTAAAAGTTCTAGGATTTCTTCTATGATGTAAATAATTAGACCAGATGTATTCCGCTCTGGCTAGGGTGGTTTTTTATTAGCTTAAGCTCGGCATGCTTCTCTTTTATGCTGACGTTTCGCTATGGGGTAGGGTTCTTCCTCCGCAAGTTCCCCCCCCGCTTTTCTCTTTGGAGCTATGCCGTTTTGCTATGTCAATATTTGTTCCTCCACCCTTTTTGTATATGTCTTTCTTTTTGAAACTTAACTCACTGTTTCTTTAATCGCTGGGTCGCTTCGCCACGTAGATTAATATTTTTGTTTAAGTCCTTGTACACTCTGGTCCGGTAATATCTCTGAGCACCATTGCTGGCCTCTGGACAGCGGGACCTTTCGGAGCAAAAAGGAGCTCGCTTCCCCCAAGCCAGAACTTCAGGAGCGGCCCCTTTGGGGCTCCAGGCTAGAAGCTCCCTCCGAGAGCTTCATGGTGAGGTCGGGACCGGCTGATCCCCCTCCCTGCCACCCCGATCCAAATCGCCCCCATCGGAGCTCAATGGGGGGTGTTCGTAGCGAGTCGCCATCAACTGCAATCTACTTTTTACATTTTGGATGTAAATGATGTTCACTTGGAATGGATACATTTTTATCAACATTACTTAATATAATTCATGATTTGTATTGTCTGCCAAATAATTGTTCAGTAATTTATTGTGCATTTTGCTTTTTTATTATTAATTTATTAATCTTAATACCCTTGTTGCTGATTCAGTTTATCTTTGTTGCTCTGTAAATGTGTGGGTTCCATTTTTCTTCCATTCCCTCACCCCCAGTATTTGCCCCCGAGCAAGTTAAAGTCGATAGTAGCCCTCTAAGCATATCGCTGCTGGGATCCCAAGTTTCTGATATTCCTGTCAGTTTTATAACATAAGAACATAAGAGAAGCCAATGTTGGATCAGGCCAATGGCCCATCCAGTCCAACACTGTCACACATGGCCAAAAATACCAGGTGCCATCAGGAGGTCCAGCAGTGGGGCCAAGACACTAGAAGCCCTCCCGCTGTTGCCCCCCCCCCCAGCACCAAGAATACAGTACATCACTTGCCCCAGACTGAGAGTTCCTATCTATACCTTGTGGATAATAGCCACTGATGGACCTCTGCTCCATATGTTTATACGAATCCTGCTGGCTAGTTCTATTCATTATCCCACATCTCCAACTTTTTCTTCTATCTGCCAGTATATTCAGTAGCTGAAGATGTTTTACAGTATTAGGTTGGGTGCACAAAGACAATGAGAATCTGTTCCGGTTCTGTTCTGCATGGCATGATTTCTTGCTTAACCTCTGAACAAAAGGGACTAAGATTACATTTGTGCTTCAGCTGCTTTTCTATAAAGGAAGATGCCTTATTAATTATTCTGGCCAGTAAAGAACCTTGATTTGTAGCATAACTACAATATTTATACTATCTTTGTTATCTGTTTTGCTGGTTAGATGGATAGGCTGTTTGATTACTCTGTATATGCAAATATCATCCATATTTATGTATTCAAGCTAAGTGAATGGAAGCTTGGTTGAGCCAAGCCATTAATCAACATTTCTCTTTGAAACGGAATAAGCCTGTATGACAGCTCTGGCTGTTTTGCAATAATATGTTGGTCTCGGCAACATTGTTTCTCACAGGTGGAATGATATTGGAAATATAACACACAACAGGTCCTCGATTGCCGTGGAACTCATCAACAAGGAAGAAACTCTGCTCTTCCACACCGTAAGCAACTGGTTAAATATCGGTATTGGGGGCAGGGGTTAAGCCACACAGTCAGTATCCTCTTTTTTTGTATGAATAAGGCAGACTTTCATTTGAAGATAGCTTTGTTACTCTGTAGCTGGAGGCCTGGCATCTCTAGCCAAACTCACCATCAAATCAGTTACTGATTAAACTGATTGCCACTTCCTTTTGAAGACAGCACAGTTGCCCTACTCTCTGAGAGGTCAGCTGAGGTGAGATCCACCCTTTTTTAAGATGCTAAAGTACTTCTAGATAGAGGCACCACTGCACATTGCATTGCGGGAAATGGCTCAGATAATCTCAGATGCACTTTCTGCATCCTCTCCCCCCTCACCTCACCACCTAAATATCTCTGGCCAGTTTCTTCATACCCTCCGTGCATCTGACAAAGAGAGCTGTGTGTCTCGAACGTTTATGCTACAAGAAAGTTTGTTAGTCTTAATGGTGCTACTGGGCTTTTTACTATTTTACCTTAAGAAAACAGCACTGTATAAACTAACCAGTCTGGATAATTCGTTTAAGTGATTTTACAGTTATAGACGTCTCTCCTTTGCAAGCTCGTAGCTGTTAGGCATTTCCACAATGCATCATGCATGTGTTGGGGTGCTCTTTGGACCCATTCCATTAACATTTCTGTCACTTGGATGCTGAGTACTGATGTTTTTTGAGCATCTTTCCTAAAGACAGTGTTATTTCTACTAAATATTTTAGAATAACATAGCCTTCTTTGGATGACTCGTTGCTGTACTAGTTGCACTCTGATCAAACGGTTTTCTCTCTCCTCTTTCCTTGTTTCAAGGATGACCTTGAAAATGCCAAGTATATTTCACGCCTGTTTGCTGTGAAGCACAAGTTTTACAAACAGAATAAAATCTGCACAGAGTGAGTATATATCCTTTGCGAATTCCGACTCACTGTAATGAATGTGGAATTTTGTTTTGATACAGACACTGGCTTTTTGAGGGCATTTTGTAGTTTGCGCCCCATTTGCTCTTTGCAGGTATGGCAAAATTAAAAGAGGGTAGTCCTTTCAGTGTTCCCTTTAAGCTGTGCACACGAGCAGCCACTCATTAACATAGAGGCCCCACTCAGCAGCAGTCTGCCCATTGCCCATTTTAAGATTATAGCAGTTATATTCTGCTCAGGATGTGAACTGCTCCTCTCGGTAGGGGGGAATTATTTATTTATTTATTTGATTTATACCCCGCCCTCCCTGTGAGGCAGGCTTAGGGTGGCTTACATAAAAATGCATATATAAATACAGTTAAAATCATACATAAAACAACCATTAACATTTTCCTAAAGTGCCGGAACAATACTCAAGTAAAGTGCAGGCGCAAAAATTCCTAGATTAAGCCACACCACTACTTAGGTGATAGTCCTGATGGTATACACATATCAGCTCGGATAGATCAACTACTTTGTGCAGCGAGCCAGGCTGAAGATGGTAGAACCAGGGCACAGGGTCAGTTCTCGGTATTTAAGGCGGCTCCTAATCGAAAGCCTGGTGGAAGAGCTCCATCTTACAGGCCCTGTGGAACTGTAAAAGGTCCCGCAGAGCCCTGATCTCCAGGAGCTCATTCCACCAGTATGGAGCTGCCACCGAGAAGGTTTGTGGCCTGGGAGGGCCAGTCGGTTTTGGGCCCTTGAACGCAGTGCTCTCTGGGGAACGTATGGGGAAAGGTGGTCCCTCAGGTATGCCAGACCCTTACCATAAAGGGCTTTAAAGGTCAAAAACAGCACCTTGAAGTAAATCCGGTATGCTATTGGCCACCAGTACCATGCTTTCAGCACAGGCTGGATGTGCTCCCACATGGAGAGACCCATCAACAGCCTGGTCGCAGCATTTTACACCAGCTGCAGCTTCCGGATTTAGGACAAGGGCAGCCCCAAGTAGAGAGCATTACAGTAGTCTAATCTCAAGGTGACCATTGCATGGATCACTGTTGCCAAGTTGTTGCATTTGAGGAAGGGAACCAACTGCTTGATCAGCCAGAGATGGTAGAAGGTTGACTTGGTAGTGGCTGCTAACTGGACCTTCATCGTTAAAGAGGTATCCAGGAGCACTCCTAACCTCCAGCGCTGGCACCAGCTGTGCCCCATCAAATGTCGGGAGTGGGATCCCCACCCTCAGACTACCTCAGCTCAGGCACAGGACCTCTGTCTTCGTTGGATTCAGTTTCAGTCGATTCAGTCTAAGCCAACCAGCCACGGCTTGTAGCGCCTGGTCCAGATCTTCCAGTGTAGAGTCAGACTGGCTGCCCAACAACGGATAGAGCTGGGTGTCATCCGCATATTGGTGACATCCTAGCCCATGCTTCCAGGCAATCTGGACAAGGGGGCACATATAGATGTTAAACAACATCGGGGAAAGTACCGCCCCTTGAGGCACACCACAGGTCAGTGGATGCTGTCATGGGTGCTGAGGAAGGGACGTTGCCAGCTCCAGCAGAAGAAGAAGAAGAAGAAGAAGAGATTGGATTTATACCCCGCCCTTCACTTGGAGTCTCAGAGCGGTTTACAGTCTCCTTTCCCTTCCCCTCCCCACAACAGACACCCTGTGAGGTGGGTGGGGCTGAGAGAACTCTGACACAAACTGCTCTTTTTCAAGGACAGCTGTGCCAGAGCTTCTGACTGACCCAAGGTCACATCAGCAGGTGCAAGTGGAGGAGTAGGGAATCACCAGGTTCTCCCAGATTAGAGTCCGCACACTTAACCACTACACCAAACAGAACCCACAGCTGGCCCCTCTGAAGCTTCAGAGATCGGCAGTTTGCCATCACCGCCTTCACTGACACCTGGCTCAGAAACAGCTGACAAGGAGCAGCCACAGATGGAAAGCCCTCCCGACTCGCCCCCGAGAGTTGCTCACTTATGAGATTGACTCCGGCAGGACTTAGCAACGAGGCGACGTGTAGCTCGTTTGCGGAGCAGACGGTCCGTTAGTCCTGAGTTTTGACAGACACTTGGCTTCTGGTGCCGCTGCGCTAATTGGAAACAGCAGCAGAGGGCTGTTTAGCTTCAGACTCTAAGCTGGCTCCTTTGTGGAAGCAAACTTGTCAAACTACGCGACGCCTTGCATTTACTCCACCTCCTGGTTCCAGACCTCGTTTCTGCTCCTCTCCTCCGGCTTCTGACTCTGGCTTAAACGACCTTGCTCCTGGTTTGTGATTTGGACTTTCACTCTCAGTTCCTGCTACCCTCCTCCGACTTCTGACTCTGGCTTGAACGACCTCACTCCTGGTTTGTGATTTGGACTTTCGCTCTCGGTTCCTGCTCCAGTCCTTTTGGCTCAAGACCCCGGACTGAACTTGGACTTCCCTCTGCCTACACCCCAGACCTTGACAGATGCCTTCAGGACAGCTTTTCCCCTAGTGCCACCCTTTGTCCCCGAACCTGAAGAAAGGATGCAAGCCATTGCAAGGCAAGTCCCTGAACTCCAGAGTCAACGAGGCGGTGGATCAGTAGCTGATGGTCAACTGTGTCGAACGCTGCCGACAGGTCCAGCAACAACATTTGACCTGCTTTGTGGCAGAGTCATCATGAACAGAATCGTTCTAAACAATTGAGCTGCATAGAAGAGAAGAGAGGGTTTTCCTAAATTCTCTAGGCATGTGATTGTAATCTGAAGCACAGTCTATGACTTTATCCCCTTCAAAAATGAAATTGGAGACTTCATGGTTGTAAGATGGGAAAACTGACATTATTTTCCCCAGTACTGCAACATGTGGCCTGGATGGGGTCTTTTCTATACAGTCCCAACAGTCAGAAAGGATTTGTTCAAAAGTATGTATCTGCTACATCTCCACGCTTCCCCTGGAAAGCCTTGTTTCTTTCTCTCTCACACACAAAAAGTTCAATTTCTGCTTACTAGGCTTTCAGATAGACACTTACCTGGCTGTTTACAGTGATTAAGCAATATTATGATAATTTAGAATTTAGCAAGGCAAGTGCCCCCCCCCCCCGATTATAAATTGTTTACATAGGTATGTATGGGAAATCAGTAAGAAAAGCTTTTCATTTTGTGGACATTGTGTGCAAAATTGCCTCCCACCCAGTCCTCATTTTCTCCCTAACGAAACATGATGACAAGGCCCAGTTTTGTCGACAAAAGTATTAGAATTAAAGGGTGTGGGAGAGAGAATGAATCATGACCTTCCTCCTTGATAGCATTCCAAAAACAGTAGTTCCTTTTAGGCTGCTAAAAAACTAGGGAGGGTTGCCCACCTATACCTAGATATCTGTGACACGTGAATTTATATGTTATATGAACTATACCTGTATTCGCATCAACATTATGTCTTCAGGGAACTTTTTCTGGAACTTTTTCTAGATTGTCTATCGAGAAAACACAATATGCAAACTGCTGTTCTCTAATATCTGTCTTAATAGATAAAAAAGTAGAGACACTACATAGACTCCTCAAGTAATCATGCATTGATTCACAGTCTCTTGGCAAGTCCACAGGAGCTTGATACTTTATGCCAGTGTGCAGCCAAAAACATTCCAAAATTTCATGAGTTAATGTTACATGTGGGAAGCAGTCATCATCAGTCTGGCAGTCCCAGTTGCTAAGTGAACATCCACATCTGTCTTATTGGGTGTCACCATCTGTTGAGGTTGTGTAACTGAGTGAAAAGTTTGAGCATACAACCCCATTGTCAAGCTGACTTGTCTGAGAACCTGTCTGCATGTATGTTAATCTGCCCCAATACTCATGATTCATAGTGTTAAGTGAGGGGAGGGTTGACTGCCAGAGTGAGTGCAAGAACAGAGACATGGAGAGACCAAAGCCACGCTACCACAAACATGTACATGGCTCTGGATCACTTAGGACCAAACTACACATGATGCTGAACTTCTGTGTCTGGGACTTTTGAACTTCTGTGTCTGCAACATGTTGTTTGGCTGTAAAATAAAGAGGGGGGGCGGGGGGGAAGGGCTGTGTATTAGTACCTCAGCTCTGGGGAAGTGATAGTAGTTTTTTCCCCACTCTTTGCTATTTTTCCAGACAAAATTGTGTCCCCTTCTGAATCACATTAAGCCCTGATAGGGGAGAAAAGGCTAGCACAATCTCTCCACATACACACAGACACAAGTGGTGCTCAGAGCAGTCTGCAAGAAGGCATTTTTAACTGAGGTAAACAAGAGGAGGGACTTAAGCCTCCTTTCCAGCCTCAGTCCCAGACTGGTCCCCACTGAAGCCATTTTTAGTGCCAGGCTGTACTGTGGGAGTCATGAAACTCTAAAGTCATGTATAGTCAGGCCTGATGCCTCCTATCAGGTAACTTTTACAACAATGTGTTATCACTTTGGGCTTCAAACCTAGGCTATTAAAATAACTCTGTATCTGAATAGGTGTTTCCTTACTAGACACTGGAACTATAATTTGATGTTGGAAAAATCTAGTTGGGTAAGCTTCCTGAGGATTTTCAAAGGTAGGACAGGATGTGGTTAGCAAAAGTGAGTAAGGCTGTGCCTGGGAGATGAGAAACCATAGTATAGGTTGAGAAATATGGTAACTTAGAATGTGGCCATTATTATGCTGATCAAACCTGCCCAGGTGAAATGGTTGAATTTATGCGCTTAGCCGCTCTTGGTGACCTGTTCTGCATGTCCACACTAAGAGACGTGACACTGGCAGGCAGTGGGGGCAGGGCTTTGTTGCAACGAAATGATGGGATCCTTTGCCCCAAGATACTAGTCTGACCCCCTCACTCCTTGCCTTCTTGTATTCTGTTAAGATCCTTCTTTTTATTTTGGAAGGGATTAGGAGGTGGGTGTGTCTGATCTACTTTTTAAAAATTCCTACTGCTGTCATCTGCTGTAGGTTTTGTCATCTGATGCTGCTGCTGCTGTATGATTATATCTGCTGTTTATTTGCCTTCTTTACTGTATTAGCTTTTTTAGGTGATACATGTAGACATTTTAAGAAATGCATTTTTCTGTGGGCAGACTTGAGTTCTCCTGCTTAGAAAGAGAGAAAGCACGAGGAAGTGAGAGAGAGGGTGAATGCTTGGATAAAAAGATTAATTGCCATGTTAATTGATTGCATGGATATGCGAATGCTTACAAATACTACTGCCACTACTTAATGCATCACAGAGGTTCTGTAGTGCAGGATTGCTTTCTCTCATATAGCATCTTTCAGAAATCTTTGTTGTGAATTCCTGTGTCCTCAGAGTTATGGTGGGTGTGGTCAAGTGTTGGGCTTTCTCAGCAGTGGAGCCCCAATTACAGAATTCTTTGTCCAGTGAAGGCTTACCTGGCCAGTTCTTTGTAGGGTTGCCAAGTGAAATGTTCTTACCGGCGGGGGAGCCTCACCGGGCTCCGGGAGCCGTTCTTCGATGTGCACGTGCACGCACCAGCAACACGTCACCAGAAGTGACGCGCGACGTCGATCACGTTGAAGGCGTGGCCCCGATCGTCAGAGGGAAAACCATAGAGTGAGGCTCCCCCTCTGTCAATCGGGGCCATGCCCCCAACGTGATTGACGTGGTTGCGTCACCTCCAGTGATGCAGCCACGCTGCGTTTCGGGGGGCGGAGTTCCCCCCGGGGCTCAATTCCGCGGCAGCGGAAATTCGGCCTCTGAAGCAGGGGTTTACCCGCCCCTACTTGGCAGCCCTAGTTCTTTGCATGGATTTAGAAGATAAGCATAAACATTTAGAAGGTAAACATTCTTGTTCTGTAGCACATTTGTCCTCACAGAATAATTAATGTTGTAATGGGTGTTTTATGGCTTTGTCCTGTTTGTGTCAGTGGTTGGATTGCATTCATGATTTCTGGTGAGAAGTTGTGATGCAGAGAGCAGAATGGCAAAGTCCCTTTTTAGCCGTGAAGCTCACTGAGTGACTTTTGAGCTGTCATGACCTCTCAACATAACTTGCACGGTTGTGGCAAAGATAGGTGCACTTCTCTGAACTTGTTTAATTGCCCTTGGACTCTTGGCTAAGAGGCAGGTTTTACCTTTTAATCCTAAAATAAGTACTGATTGAATTGTGCCTGTGGTTTTCAGCTTGATTGCCTTTCCTATTCTGTGTAGTTTGAAAATGGCTCTGTTGTTAGAGTTTCTTTTCTTATGTGTGCCTGTGTTTTCTAACTGTGTATAACGTCATTCACCAGATGAGAAACTGTAAGAGGAGCAATTCTGCCTTTCCTTTCTCCACGTAAGCACTTTACTCTAGCTGAATCTTATGAATGGTTTTCCTCCTTTTTGTTCTCTCCATCCCAAGTGGTGCATCTTGCTGCCCTAACATCCATGTCCACATTTGCCTGTTCAGTTGCTCTGTTCTGTCTTGGCCTCTTCGGAGCCTTGCTCTACTCTCTGTGTCATTATTGCTCTCTTTGCCGAAGGCATGTGGTAAATGGGTGCCATTCAAGTTCAATTTCAATTCAACAAAACTCTTACTTTCATTTAGTTCTTGCCTTGCATTTTCAGAATAAGGAAATCCAATGGTGGTTGTGTTTCTTTTAATGCATGTATGCTCTGTGTGTGTGCGTGTGTATGTGTGTGTGTGTGTGTGTGTCTTTATAAAAGATTTTAATGCATCCTTCTCCCCCCCCCTCCAATTATGTCAGTTACAAACAAAATAGCTACAATGTGTGAAGGTCCCTTTTCTTTTAACGGTTGTAGAGTAGAATATGCCTTTGGTAGAATGGCCTATATTTAGAATAACTTCCTCCATGTTTCTCCTGCAGACAATCAAATTCTCCTCCCCCCATCAGACGGCGGCCCACCTGGAGTAAATCATCCTTGGTAAATATCTTGGCTAAGTGTTGAGCTAGAGGAGTAGTAATTACTCATTGTGTTTTAAAGCACATTTATTGCAAGCTGCTTCAAATGTCATTAAGTGGAACACAAATATTTTAAAGGAAATAATTAACCTTTGAAGTTTCTCCCTGCTGTTTCTCAAAGGACAAATGTCTAAATGTAGTAAATAGCAAAGTGCTGCTTTGTGGAATGTATGCAATTTCTTCTATAAATATATTGTGCTTTATTTTTCTTTTTAAATTTTAGCCAAGGCAGCACCCATATATTTTGCCTCCTATGCATGTCCAGTGTGGCGAACCTTACCCTGAAACTCACAATTCACAAGGTATTCAAGAATAATATTTAACATTTATATATTACAAGCATTAGATGATTCAAAGCACTTCACAAATATAATTATAAGCCTTAACCATTGCCCTGCAGGACAGGTCAATATTGTTATCTGTGTATTGCAGGTTTTGGGAGACTGGGCTGAATGACAGAGGCTTGCCCTGGGGCCAGTGAATGGCCATAGCAGATATGGGAGCAGGAGTTGCCAACACCAGGGTGGGAAATTCTGGAGATTTGGGGCATGAAGCCTAGGAAGGGCCCATACCTGCTATCAGGTTTTACTTTCTGTGTGTGGTAAACCCCGTACGTTCACTGGATCTTTTGCTCTTCCACGGCTGTCAGTGGGGAGACTCTGCTTCTGCACGTGAAATCATACAAAACGTTTTCTACATCTTTTCTACTGTTGCTTACTCCATATATTGTCATGTTTGTTTGTTTGTTTCTGTCCCCCCCTCATGCATTCAGACAGCATTTTCCATGGAAATGAAGAAATGTTTTACTATCGATCTCAGACTAGTTTGGATAGATGTGCAATGGACTACAGCTACTTGAATGGCAATGTCCCCAATGGCAGTGTGTGCAGTGCCCAAAGTATGAACTCTCTGAACCGATCACAGAATTTCATTCAGGCTTCTCCAATGTCCTCCAACCTCAGCATCCCTGGGAGTGACATCATGAGAGCAGACTACATCCCTAGCCATAGGCATAGTGCAATCATTGTACCTTCCTATCGGCCAACGCCAGACTATGAAACTGTAATGAGGCAAATGAATAGAGGAATTATTCATACAGACAGCCAAAGTCAGTCATTGCGGAACCTCAATATTGGGAACACTCATGCTTACAACCACCCCAAAGACCTTGTATATAGCCAACCTGAAATTCGAGAAAGATCTCCTTATACTATAACCTATGGGCCCCAAGGCACTTACAAAAAACATGTCACTCCATCTGAGCAAATGAACCCCATAAATCCCACACAGACTAAAGCAGCAGCCAGTGCTATTTCCCACACAGTCAGCACACCAGAGCTGGCCAACATGCAGGTGCCAAATAACCAGAGAGGTGGCACAGCCCATGTACTAAAAAACTACGTTTTCAGACCACCACCCCCATATCCACGTCCACGCCCTGCTACCAGCACACCTGATCTAGCAAGCCATCGCCACAAGTATGTTAGTGGCAGCAGCCCTGACCTGGTCACTCGGAAAGTCCAGATGTTGGTGAAGACCTTCCAAGAGGATAGCTCTCCAGTCATCCACCAGTCTCTCCAGGAAGTCAGTGAACCCCTTAGGGCAGTCAAGCATCATACGCCTGTCAGCAAGCGGCAGAGTTTGGAAGTCATCAGCAACATGGTGCGTGGCATAGAGGCCATGACTTTAAAGAGTCTGAATGCTCCTTTACCACGCAGAAATACTTTGCGAGAGCAGGTGCAGCCAGAGGAAGTAGTGGAGTTCCCTCACTACCATCACAAGAAGACCTTCTCAGATGCCACCATGCTGATACACAGCAGTGAAAGTGAAGAGGAGGAGGAAGCCTCAGAATCTGTGTCCTCTATGGCAGCATTCCATGAAAACATGGAGTACAGTGCTCAGCTGCAAGCTGCCTTGGCTAGAATACCAAACAAGCCTCCCCCTAAGTATCCCGGTGCCAGGAAAAGTGTTAGCAATGGAGCCTTGAGAAATGACCAGATGAACATTGCGTTGGCTGTGTCTCGTGCCAAGGCCATGAGACCAGGGCCTACAAAAGCCATCAATGTATGTCGAACTGATCCAACCGCGGTGAATGGCTCTTCGCTCGGCCCATCGATCTCAGAACCAGACCTGACCATTGTCAAGGAGAGAGTCAAGAAAGAGCCGGTGAAGGAGAGGCCTGTATCTGAAATGTTTTCCATTGAAGACAGTATCATAGAAAGAGAGATGAGGGTAAGTACGTTTCTCATTTCTGAACGTAGCAGCAGCATGATCAGTCTGAAGAAGTAGCAGCAGTGCCACCAAAAAGCAATACTCCATTAAAGCTGATTTTGAAATAGAAACACATGCAACTCTGAGCGTGTGGGCTTTTGGTGGCAGAAAGTCAGATCGAGGATGTACCTTTAATAAAACTGCCATTATAATTAGAAACTTGCTTTAGAATCTTTCTTTGAAAAATAGATGCTAAGATTCCCAAGATTCTGCTGAAGGTGCTTGACTATGTTCTGAATTCCCTGTTCTGTGCCCTGCTGTCTTGCAGATTTTCTGAATTCCTAGTCATATTTCCAAAATAAAAGAAGTTTCTGAGCAACGATTCCAAGGGTGTAACTATTTGGGGATAGTTCCTCTCATGATGGGAAACGCATACTTGTGAGAACACAGACTTCACATTGGATCCAGTATAAAACTTCCGCTTTGTGCTGGAGCTCTTGTGCAAGCTGAAATGCAAGAAAAATACTGTAGTAGATGCTGGTGCCAAGTCATGTGTTTCCTCTTGTGCAACCATTTTCTGGTCACTACAGTAAGTAGGGAGTAACATGCTTGGTGTTGTGCAAGACCTTGAGCAAGCAGAACTGCACTAAGTCCATTTCCGTTTCCTCATGCACATCCCTGGTTCCAAGCCTATGTATCAAAAAAATGACAAGTAACTTTAGAAGCCATCTTTGCAAAATGTAAAGCACAATCCAGCCATAGTTGGGCATTTTGAAGGCCCATTTATTTCAGTGGGAGATGTTTAAGAACATGTGTATCTCTCCTAGTGAAGTCAGTGCTGCTTTAAAGTCTGGGGCTGGATTGTGCTCAGAGTCATCTTTATTTCATGGTTCTTCCATCATGTTGTATACCACTGGCCTGAATGGGTGGCTAGACATTTGGACTTTCTTGTTGTTGTTCAGTTAGCATCAGCCAGAGATATGAAATGGTTGAAGAGCTCCTCTGAATTAAAAAGGTTGAAACGACCCAGGTTGCCCACACCAAAGGGTGCCGTGGGGTGGCAAATAGGAGCAAGTAAGGCTCCATGGGGCCTCTGAAAGCACTACTTTAAGCAAAAAATGTTAGCTTATAAACAGTAGTATGAATCTTATCCATCACTTAGCAAGTGACTGCACTGAGACAGGGATTGTCGTGATAACATAGGATGATGCGTAATCTAGCCTTTTTTCTTTTGGCCTGGCTGAAGAGATGTCAGTGACAGGCACAGGTGAGTAGGAGGCTGAGCATCCCTGACATAAGAGAAGGATGTTGACAATGACACAACATCCATCCTCTTATCTGTCTCCGTGGGGGGGGGGAGAACAATATGCCCACCATCTAGCGTATTTCCTCCATTGTGTTCTCCTCTGAAAGAAGGAAGCTGGGAGATTGGGAGAGGTTGCTGCTTCCTGGGGTGTCTTCCATGGGAACTGATCTAGCAGAGTGGTTGTCGCATGGGATTCCCCTGTATGCAGGTGTTGTCTTGAGGACTATTTCTTATTCTTATTTATGTAAAGTGCAAGAAAGATAACTCTTTTTCCAGTCTACAGTTCTAAGGGCGACAGATGCTACAAATCTAGCTTTTGCACCAAGGAGAACTGATGGCATTTCTGGCTTTTGAATAAGCAAATTTAGTTGGACAAAAACCTAATCATTTTGCTTTGTTCAGAGCTGACAAAGCTCTGGTTTTACTTTACTTTTTATGCTCTCTCTCCCCAGCCTTGCACAATATCTACCTGGTGGCACTGAAACAAGTTTCCATTTGGCTTTTTATGGGCTTAGTCGTGGGAAATGTATTTGTTTGTTAATGGGACTCATTGTATTTATTTCAGCATAACAACACTGTTTAAAATCCACCACCAGTCTGGGTTTATGTATCATCTTTGTGATTTGCTTGGCTCGCTTGTTTCTGTTCTCTCAGTCTAACGTTTGCAGAGAGAGAGAGAAAGAGGGCTGTCTTTGATGGCAAGTCTTCTGTACCGTGGGACTGTTCCTTTGAAATTATAACTCTGCACTCATGTAGGAACAGGCCCCCCAGGGAAATAATGGGAAGTTTAGGAGGCGCATTTGAATTTGCTCTGCTAATGGCAATCATCTGCACTCCTCGGACTGAGTTGTAGATTTTTTGGGAGATTAAAAAGACATTCCAACATTCTGCTGGCATTATTTCTAATCACCCCGAGATGAAAGCGTGCCTTTTCTTGCCAAAAGTATCTAGAGAAACAGAAGATGGCAGGCCTGGAGGCCCAGAAGAGGCCCTTGATGTTGGCAGCGCTCAATGGTCTCTCAGTTGCTCGAGTTCCAGTGCCTGAGGATAGCCAGGATGAAGTAGCCAAGGTGCCAATGGATGAGCGGGTAAGGATAGGATTCTCAGAACAATGCACACTGTTTTTTGTTTCTGTCAGCTATGGTTTCTGAAGCATTAAAAACATAGTGGTATAAAATACGGACCAAACAAAGCATGACTGCAAGAGCAGCATTCTGTACATAAAGGTCCCCACTCCAATGGTGAAATGTGGGAGGACATCAAAATGATAGTCTTGAAACAGAAGACCACACGTGCCCCCTTGAACAAAATTTCTGCCCTCACACAAGAATGGTACTCTGAAAGGTATTTCAGTAATGAAATCAACAGACCTTGTTTTTTGGTAGGCCTTTTATTACCTAATGGAATCTGACTTGGGTGGCTCCCACAAATTCTTTTCTTCCAATTTTTTTTTAATGAGTTTATGTTGAAATTTCTCATCTTGCCAAGTAGAGGGGCCTGAGTACCTTTTCTTCCATCACCCCTGATAAATATCAGAAATATCCAGTATTGGGTTGGGAGCAATGCTCCCTCTAAGCTGTGGAGTCTTGTGAGCAAAGATTCTACTTTGTGAGCTCCTGGCATTAAAGTTGTGAGTGAGCGATTTGGCTAATGCACCAATTAGTTTGCTCTGGAGCCATCCTTCCTGAGCTAAGACAAAAATGTGTGAGCCAGAGGCTAAAAAACTGTGAGCGAGCTCACACTAACTCACCTTAGAGGAAACACTGGTTGGGAGGACTTTCTGCTATTCCACAGAAAGGCACTCCAGAAAGATACCGTGATTTATGCTATTGAAAGCCACTGAAAATGCCCAGGAGAATCAACAGAATCTCACTCCCTCTATCCATCTCCTAGTGCACAATTTGCACCACATTATTAGCTGTTTAACTTTAGTGTTGTATGGAAAGGGCACTTCTATGACCAAAAGTTCTCACATGATTATGGATGCTGTAGAAATAGCACCACTGTCAAGGTTATAGCTGTTGAAAAAATGGCATTCCACAGACAGTTAACACAATGCACTTGGATTAACCAGGGTAACCTTCTTCAGGATCAAGCATAGGTGGCTCAGGGCATGACTAGACATGACAATGTCCTCGGGGATACCGCCACCATTTTATAGCTGAATGCAGGCCATTTAAAAATGCCACGAGGGCAACGCAGTGGGACCAGCTGCTCATGCCCCCCCCGTGTCTTTTCAAGTTTTGACCTCCCCCCCCCCACTGCAACTTTTTGGCACTTGAAAAGGCGCCAGAGGGGAAGGCAAGAGCAACTGATCTGACCGTGTTGTAGGTCCAATCAGGATTGGGCCCTTGAAACATTTTTAAATAGCCCATGTTCAGCTCCAAAATGGTGGCAGCTTCCTCAACTTGAACTTAGAGACCCCATAACATGTAGTTGTGTCCTCATTTACAACAATATTACTTTCTGCCAACCTGGGAATAACTACTGCAAATGTATGTTCAGGCAAATGGAATCAGCCTGCTGTGACATGCTGTATTTACATGACCTCACTCTACTTAATGTGTTGCGTCTTGGCATGAATCAGCTGCAATTTACAAAGGACTTCTGCAGACAAGCACATCTTCCCCTTGCTTCGTGGCGTGTTCTCCTACCATGTACTTACTGGCCTTGGGTCTTGGTTGGTGAAAGCTCAGCAACTACAGAAGACCTTATGGCTTTGATGTTGTCAGTACATTCCCCAGGAGGGGAATACCCTCATTAAAGAAAGTGGTAATCAAAGCCACCCCCCAAAAAAGCCATCTTAAAAAAAAATATTGAGAATTTTTAAACCAAAAGATAAAAAACTAACAAAAATATTGGAAAAGAGAATAGAACTAGAAATACAAAGTCAAAGGGGGGGGGGAGAAGAAAGATAAGGAAACTATAAAGAAATATAAAGAAATGGCTTCTGATTTTCTTTATGACAAATACAAGTAAAATTAGGAACTTAACACTCTATAGTGACAAAAGAAACAAAAAAGCTTTTTTTCCTTTTTCTCCCCTTAATCATCAAGTCCAGAAATCATCCGTTCATTTTTCCCTTTTCATGCAAAAAGTCTATAAGGGGTTTCCAGTTAACCATAAATGTAGATAATGGCTTTTCTTTAATCAAAGAAGTAAGTTTAGTCATCTCTGCAAATTCCATCATCTTAATCAATCATTCCTCTGTTGTGGGTAATATTGAACTTTTCTATTTTTATGCATATAATAATCTCGCCACTGTTGTCATATATAGAAATAAAGTTCCATGACTTTTCCTAGCTGTCTGTACATTAGTCCCAAAAGGAAAACCTCTGGTTTCATTTGAATGAATCTGTACAATGAATCTTTAGAATCTTCTCGATTAGTGAATGTATTTGTAGCCAAAAAAAATTCGGCTTTGTTACATGTCCACCATAAATGAGAACCTGTCCCTTCATTTTGTTGACATTTGCAACATACGTTCAAAATACTTTTAAACATTTTCGCTAATTTCTCTGGTGATATATACTGTCGATACATCATTTTATAAAAATTTTCTCTAAGACTAGAGCTTAGTGTAAATTTAAGGCCCTTCATCCACATATTTTCCCATTGTTCCATTTGTATATTGTATCTAAAGTTTTTAGCTGAATTTGTCATCGATTCTTTTACTCCTTCATCCTCTCTCAAATTTCAACAATAGTTACACATTTCAGCAATAATATGTTAGTCATTTAGGTGGTCGGCTGTGTTGGTCTGAAGTAGTAGAACAAATTTAGAGTCCAGTAGCACCTTGAAGACCAACAAAGTTTTATTCAAAGTATGAGCTTTCGTGTGCACACACACACACAATTCTGTTTCAAATTCAGTATTAGATTGTTCAGAACCATGAGATTTTTTATCTGCTTTAAACCTTTCTGATAGCTGAGCATAAAAAAGCCATTGGCAAGTGTATCCTTCTGTTATCAAATCTTCTCTTAATTTCATTTTACAATCACCTTGAGAGAAATCTAATATGTCACAATATGTTAGCCATTTATGCTTAGTTATCATTTCTCGTCTATAGAATGCTTCTTGTGTAGAAAACCACAAAGGTGTTTTCAGACACAAGCTAGGTTTGTATCTATTCCATATTTTCAAAATAGCATGTCTAATATAATGGTTTTTAAAATCCACATTAACCTCAGTTTTGTCATACCACAATAACCGTGCCATCCAAATATCAAATCATGACTTTTTAATTCCAATAACCTTCTATTTCTCAACAACACCCATTCCTTCATCCAAACTAAACAACAAACAGCAAAGTATAGTTCAAATCAGGTAAAAAGAAGAAGGAGAGTTGGTTTTATACCCCTCCCTTCACTACCTGAAGGAGTCTTGGAGCAGCTTACAATCACCTTCCCTTCCTCTCCCCACAACAGACACCCTGTGAGGTAGGTGGGGCTGAGAGATTAGAGTCCTGCCGCTCTTAAACACTACACCAAGCTGGTAGCACCAGTCCTCCTCTTTTCTTTGAATCTTGCAATGCCTTATATTTACCTTGTGGTTTCTTTCCCCTTTCCATACAAATTTAGATATATCTTTCTGCCATTGTTTAAATGGCTATGTAAACAAGGGACACAGCTGTGAATAGTTAACTTAAACAAGGTTATACCATGCAAAATATGTAATAAATAAACAAGTGTGCTTTATCCCAGATATAATAGTACACTGAGCCTGTTGTGGGAGTACGTCAATGCTGAAGAATTGAAATCTGTTGCGTTCCATCATTAATGTACTTTATTACCAGTGAAAATTGATTCCAATAGCTTTGGATTGTTGGTTCTTGAAAAAGAAAGTTTCGAAACAGCTTTTATCGATGACTTGTTGGGTTTGGATCCTTACTTGCCACAAGCGTCATCACCCTAATGAAGTTCGGAGGAAGCGAACATTCTCACACAGTAGGATAATTCGTTGGAAAGTTTTCCTATTGTCAGCATTTTCACATGTTTGGAATGGACATCTTAGAGACTGAATTTTGACTTTTGATTTATATGTAGCTGTAGATGTATTATATCTTATTTATACTTAGTATTATATTTGGGATAAAGCATACTTATAACCTTTATAATTATATGAGTTTAAAAATGTATTACATATGAGAGTTTTTTAAATTTATTACATATTTTTGTATGGTATAACCTTATTTAAGTTAATTATTGTTTAAATGGTACATCAGTTGTCAAAACAGGTATTGTCTGAAACAAAAATAACGTTCTGGGTGAGACATTTGTTTTAATCACAACTATTCTCCCCAACAGAGTTATACTTTATCCCATCTTAATGTATCTTTTTAAACTTCATTCCATGTCTTAATATAACTATTTTGAAAGAACATACAATTCATATTTGTCAGTGTAATACCCAGATATTTTTCCTTCTTTTTCACCTTAAAGCCAGTTTTATTAATCAGTTTTATTTGCTCTTGTATTTTCATATTTTTGTTAACATCTTTGTTTTAAAACCCACTAATGCACCAAATCCTTTCAATTTAGCCATTCATAATTCAATTTCCTTTAAAGAGTCTTCCAAAACTTACACCAAATCATCAGCCTGTAGGTCTCTTTTTTTATTTTTACCCCCCCAGTCCTCTTATGATGTCTTATCTCTCTATGTCTTTATCTCTATTCAGTATTTCAAGAACCAAGATAAACAAAAGAGGGGACAGTGGGCAACCTTGTCATGTTCCTTTTTGAATCTCACATAGTTTAGTTAAATCTCTGTTAACTATTATTTGTGCTGTCTGTGAAGTATAGATTGGTTTAACCCATTTTATAAAGTTCTCTCCAAAATTCATATCTTCTAAAACCTTGAACAAAAAGCCCCAGTTCAGATTGTCATACACTTTCTCTGCACCTAAAAAGATCACTGCAAGAGGCCTTCAGTTTTGTAATCAGTGTTTCCCCTTTGTGTGAAAAATTATTCGAATATGTAGTGTCTTCCAGGAGTCTTTTGGGGCCAGAGCGTGCTAGAGCGCCATTCCGGGAGCCCAGGAGCTGGCAAAATGGCAGTGGCAACAAGCCCCGCCCCCAGCTCCCCCCTGCTACGGCCTGTCACTGGCCTTCCGGGGCCCGCACTGAAGCGCTGCGGCCCCAGGGAGGCCTGAGGAGGCCCGTCACTGCCTTCCCAGTGCCCGCGCCGGAGCGCTGCGGCCCCGGGGATGCCTATCGCTGCCTTCTCGGGTCCCACACCAGAGCATTGCAGCCAGGAGGAGGTCAGGAGAGCCCCCCCCCACGGCCTCCCTGGGCCAGCGCCGGAGTGCTGCGGCCCAGAGGAGGCCAGGAGAGCCCCCCTGCCGCCTTCCTGGGCCATTGCCAGAGCACTGCAACCCAGAGGAGGCCAGGAGAGCCCCCCGCCGCTTTCCTGGGCCAGCGCCGGAGCGCTGCAGCCCGGAGGAGGCCAGGAGAGCCCCCCGCCACCTCCCTGGGCCAGCACTGGAGTGCTGTGGCCCAGAGGATGCCAGGAGAGCCCCACCCCACTGCCTCCCTGGGCCAGCGCCGGAGCGCTGCTGCTTGGAGGAGGCCAGGAGAGCCCTGCCACCGTCTCCATGGGCCAGTGCCGGAGCGCTGCTGCCCGGAAGAGGCCAGGAGAGCCCCCCGCCACCTCCCTGGGCCAGCGCCGGAGCGCTGCTGGCCGGAGGAGGCCAGGAGAGCCCCCCGCCACCTCCCTGGGCCAGCACTGGAGTGCTGTGGCCCAGAGGATGCCAGGAGAGCCCCACCCCACTGCCTCCCTGGGCCAGCGCCGGAGCACTCTTTCCTTCCTTCATTCCTTCTCTCTACTCTTTCTCTCTCTCTTTCCTTCCTTCTTTCCTACTTCTGCGGCCCAACTCTTCGCTTCCCCCCCACCCAGGGAAGGGGAGGCCTTTGAAGATGCCGTCCCCCCCTTTTGCTTTCCCTTCTGACATCACTTCTGGTGATGTCAGGGGGTTGCATATACTAATGAGCTATTATGCTAATAGCGTAGTAGCTCATTAGCATACCATATGCTAATGAGCTCCTGCAGCTCTTTTTCCATGAAAAGACCCCTGGTTGCTTCACAAGTAAGGACATTTCTGGGTACAGCAGATGTTCCTGATTTGCTGCAGCCTGATCGTGGAACTATTGGGGATAATGTACACCTAGAGACCAGGAGAGGCAATATGATCCTGTAGATTTCATTTAAACACTCAGCTAATGTCATTTGTTTTCTGACCTAAGCCACTGCCTAGTGGCCAGGATGGACTGGCTGTGGGTTCAAACGGAATTCCAACAAGATAGTAATAATAGCAGTTAAGATTCTTCAGTTTGGTGGAGGAACCTTTTCTGGTGATTAATGAAATAGATTGTGTGAAGTCAGAAGATTTTGGGGAGATTTCTATATTATATTTAGCAGATAACAGTGGGTATTTTTTTGCCTTTTTTGGAAAACAGCGATATATAGCAACAATGTGAAGTTAGCTTTGAGTCATTAATATCTTTTTCTTCTTTTGGGGGTTGAAAATAATAGTGCAAAATCTTGAGGAGAAAGCTGGAAGAAGGAATGGTATTCACTGAATATGAGCAGATTCCGAAGAAGAAGGCAGATGGAATCTTTACCACAGCAATGCTTCCTGAAAATGCAGAGCGTAACCGGGTGCGGGAAGTCATTCCATATGAGGAGAACCGAGTGGAATTGGTACCAACCAAAGAAAACAATACTGGCTACATCAATGCCTCACATATAAAGGTAAAGGTTGGGAAAGTAACCACTGTAGTTGAAAGAGACTCTGATTTCCCTGGTTCCAGTCCCATATCCACATCCACAAAACCAAAGCTCAGATCTGTATTCAATGTGAATTTAATGGGGGAATCATTTGAAAGCTGCATTCTTTTGGCCACAGCTATTTTTAGGTTTATTAAGAAGAATCATCTGTGTAGGATTATTACTTTTATATGCAAAATACTTTCTACTCCTTTCTCTTGTTCATCCTCACAATAACTCCTATTAGGATGACTCCTTTATTTTCTCATTTTACAGATGAAGAAAGATTATCAATGCCTTAGGGTACTATGAGTTCATGGTAGGGAAAACTCCAGTGTGGGTTGCAGAATCTAAAGTGGATGGCTTAATCCATTTCGAACAAGTGGTGAAAGGCCTGGAATCTGCCCACTGTGGGTTCATTCTAAACATATTTATGTCTCAATGCTAGCCATGCTCGTGGAATGGGCAACTAGATTCTGATTCTTGGGAGTTGAAGTCAAAATATGTATTGCCCCAGCATCATCCACTATATTATTCTTCACACTAAATTTGAAAAGGTTGAACTTCTACAAAAAAAATTGATTCAATATAAAGTATACTACGATGAGATGAAGTTTTCAAGGAAAACAAAGCAGAGTTTGCTGTAAGAATTGTGTTATTTTAATATAATTTGAACTTGTCTGCTTTTATGATATATTTCATTGCTGGTCAAAACAGTTTAAATTGTAGGCATATTTTACTGCTTACCTTCCAAATGCAGTTTGGGTCATAATTTACTGTGCTTAAACCTTGTTGAGTAAAAACACCTTTCTAAACCAGAATCCTGTAGATTTCTGCCAAAGGACCTGGTGGGTAGCAGATACTGTGTTTTTTGGCACTATCTACTGCAGCTTGGATGACTGATTACTGAATCTAATTTTTTTTCTTCCATTTGTGGGAGGAGAAATCATTTCTAAAAGCATAAATTTTGTCCCATGAGGTGGCATGGTCCAAGAAAGTATTTTCCCCAGCCAGTTTTAAGAGTCCATATTTCATCTTGTGTGTCAACATTGGACATACGCGCATTGTTCTGTAGTGCATGTAGCGACATGTGGTAATGTTTTTTAGTATACAACTCTGTTTCCTGCCAGTACTTTCCTTCTCTCACTCCAAGTGGTTGTTACAGAAGCCAAGCAGATGTTCTTTTGCTCAGAAGGTGAAATTGCATCTGCAGATTTTACCTCAGTCACACAGTGAGTGGTTTTCACCCAGTTATCAATTTTTAATATTCTGCCGTCAGGGCAGTAGAATGCAGTCGCATTCCAGGCAGTGCACTCCCTCTAGACTATTTATGGGGTTTTGTACATGCCTTGTGCCAGGAAGCTGAGCAGTTGGGCAAAGAAACTCCCATATCATCCTGATAAGATCTCCCACTGGACTCCCACACTAAGTCTTTGGTGGGTTTGTCAGCTTAAAAACAACAACAAAAAAAACCTTCTATCCAGGCTGTTAAGATGATACAAATTCTGTCTGAATGTAGTTTTTAAAAAGTTTTCAGTGTGAATACTCTTACCTCCTGCATTCCCCCTTTTTCAACACATACCTTTTTTCTTTGTTTTTTAAATAGCTGCTAAATACAAGGTTCCTTCAACTCTCTCAAACCCAACAACAATATTCTTACATTACAGTATAATGAAATTACTTCGTATCTCACTGAAATAAACCTAACAGGATGTACAATTATGGTTCTCCATCTAACAAATGCACTCTGGGGTTGTTTACTGCCCAGCCTGCTGCACCATAGACTACATGACAGCGCTGATCAAGACAGCTATTGACATTGAGAACCCAAATAATGTCAGTACTTGGTTACTGTAGAAGAGTTAATCCTCAAATAGATTTACATGTTCAGTTCTGCAGTTGAGTTAATGCAGTCTGTTTTTTTCTCTCTTCCCCTCAGGTTACAGTAGGTGGGGAAGAGTGGCACTACATAGCCACACAAGGACCTTTGCCACACACCTGCCATGATTTCTGGCAAATGGTGTGGGAAGAAGGGGTGAATGTGATCGCCATGGTGACAGCAGAGGAGGTACGTAAAGTGGAGGGGAAGTGGGGCTTCTATAAAGTAGTTCTCAGACCAAGAAGTTAGCTTCCCTGAAAGGTACAGAGATCAGTCTGAGGAGTATGAGTTTCTTCTCCCCATCACCCTTTCTCTCTGTGTATGTTGGTTAATGCACACTGTCAGGCTGTCAAGCATTACCACAGTCTCCCAGACAAAGATTCTACCTGAGTCCCTTCTCACATCACCATGACCAACCCAAATATCACATGACTCGCTGTTAGCATGATTAGCGTGATAATTGTTGTTTCCCTCTATGTTCGCCAAACACGTTTCCCCCAACACAAACCTCATATTTTCTGTCCCGTTCTTACTCCAAACACCACAGAGCAGTGTATGTACTGCCTGCCAGTTTTTCCTCACAATAACCTTGTGATGCAGGACAAACCAAGAGATGTTGATCACATTTTAACACCACCACCTCTTCAACGAAGGGGTTGCTAAATTTATAGCACACATAGCAGTATCCTTTCCAGCAATAATGATGTGTCTGGAATTTTGTCCACCATTCTTGATGGTCCTGCTCCCAGTCCATCCAGTGTGGTGAATAGAGTGCCTTCTGTCCATTCCCTCAAACTCCATCCTGAGTGTCTTTTAGAAGTAGGCACTAGTTGCTGTGCCTGGACGCACCAATGTTGATATAGTTTAGTGTTCTTTTTTGATTGTGGGTCATCCACAATGGCCAGTTAGAAGGCATGGGGAGGCTTGCAAGCTGATACTAGCTTCTTCTGGTTCATTCCCCAGCATCTGAGTAATGGCATAGTTTTGTAAAGATAGGTTGCTAGCTCTACTATCTGCCTCCTGACTACTTCCCCACCTCTTCTCAGGCCTTGGGTGCCAGCAGCCTGGTTTGGTGTAGTGGTTAAGTGTGCGGACTCTAATCTGGGAGAACCGGGTTTGATTCCCCACTCCTCCACTTGCACCTGCTGATGTGACCTTGGGTCAGTCACAAGCTCTGGCACAGCTGTCCTTGAAAAAGAGCAGTTTGTGTCAGAGTTCTCTCAGCCCCACCCACCTCACAGGGTGTCTGTTGTGGGGAGGGGAAGGGAAAGGAGTTTGTAAGCAGATCTGAGACACCTTTGGGTAGTGAAGGGCGGGATATAAATCCAATCTCCT